CCGCCCTCGCCTCCGCCTCTGCCACCCCCAAGCTTCCGTACAGTGAGTACTGATTCGTTGATTCGGATTTTGTTCCGGTCCGCAACGTGGTTTAATCTCTCGTTTGATTTTTTTACAGAACCGTCAGAAAGGCCGTCCAAGAATCGGTGGCTTAATAGACAGCTTCCACGGAATCACACTCTAATCCTAATGTTTAGGAACACGCCGTCATTGAGCCACGGTGAAGAGTCTTCGGCGGCTGACAATTACATTGCGAATATTTCGAGGGTGTTGATGTACGTCCATCAACATCTGGTGGACACAAAGTTCCCTCCGAGACATTGGTCGGACTTGGTGTCCACAGATGTTCAACCATATATGGAGTATATAAGGAGGTAAGTTCCCCGGTAGACTAGAGAGCAATAAGAGTTATTAACGACGATTTTGTTTTGTTTTTCAGGCGGGAAGAGTTAGACCAGACCAAGGCCACAACTATAAATTACTTGAAAAACATCAGGCTGCTGTTTTCGTATGTCATCCGTGCATACGTATACGAGGACCCCAGCTTCCCAGTCAGTTTTGATCAATCCCCGTGTTCGGAAACGATCACGCGGATCAAACTGCTGGACCAGAAGCTGGAGCTCGTATATAAACGCACAACGAAGCAGCAGCCTCAAGAGCTCTTCAGCCGGAAGACGCAAGAGGCGAGGACTATGCCCCAATACTCTGACGTAGTCAAGTGCATCGGGCAAATTGCCCAGGCGTTGCAGCACTCTGATCGGACTGCCGGACAGTATTACCGGCTGCCAGACGCGAAAGAAGCCCTGAGACGGAACAACAATATACAGGTGGTAGACTACACCGCCATGGTAAAGAGCTACGTCGACAAAAAGTAAGTAGACACAATCGTATTTACTTAATCACGGACGCATATTCAAAATATGATCAATTAAATTTTCAGTTTCGAAGACATGTTCCCGCTTCAGACCTACGCTAAATTCAACTGTGATGACTGGTTAACGAGAAAAAGAGAGTCTGACGTCTGCAGGGAATTCCCCTCTGCGAAGATAGACTCCCATTACGTCAACCAGCTCGGGGAGAGGTTTGACTTTGCGGTGCTCCAGGGGCGATGTGACATCCTGTTGCAGGGGGTTATCCGGGCAGGGTACAATAAAAACAACATTTCCGAACACGCAATTGTCGACGTAGCCAAGCAGCGGAAAATAGGATATTTTCTGAGGGACGTGAGGTGCCGTAAAAAGATCGTCGCGAAAATAAAAGCGGCAGTGTAAGTCTGGCAGTGTAAACTGGAGCCGATGAAAGTGGATTAGGCCTATTGGGGAACCCACTATAAAAAAAACGCGCCATGTGCTGTACCTCGGTGGTGGTGTGGAAAACAGCACACTACATTCATTTCAGGTACCCAAATCCACCTCAGCCGTAAACCGCTGGATCAAAAGTTAGACATCGAAATCACGCAGCCCCATCGGTGCGTAGCGGTACGGACTCCTACGGGGAGACGACCCGCGGTCAAGCGAGAGTTTACATTTATTAGAGTTTCTATTTACATAAGATTAAGTTTCAGTATTCAATAATATATCAGAAACGATTTATTAGGTTTTTAAATTTTATATACGCGTTTTAAAGGTTTTTTTGATTATTTCTTTTGGTGTTCTTTTTTGCGTAACACGGGTATTTGCGCGTAATAATGCCGGGCGCTCGTTAAACGTTTACACTCGGGTGTTTCGCTTTTTTATTCATTTTTTTAAGCATTTTATTATTGTTCAGCAACTTTTTATCAACAGTATAGTATTTTTACATTTTTTTTAAGCGTTTTTTAAGTTGTTTTTTTAAGCGTATAAAGGGCTGCTTTCATGAGTGCGTATTTATGCCGGGCGCACGTCAAACGTTAACGCTCGGGCGTTTCGCTTTTTTATTCATTTTTTTTAAGCATTTTATTATTGTTCAGCATCTTTTTATCAACAGTATAGCGTTTTTTTAATGAATTTTTATCCGTTTTTTAATTTTTTTTAGGCGTTTTTTTGAAGCGTATATATTGCCGCCTGTATTAGCGCGTACCGATACCGGGCAAGCGTTAAACGTTTACACTCAGGCGTTTCGCTTTTTTATTCATTTTTTTAAGCATTTTATTATTGTTCAGCACCTTTTTATCAACAGTATAGCGTTTTTAAATTATTTTTTTAACAATATGCACGCCGCACCTGATTCGCCCGTCACCGGGCCGTCAGAACCACTGGGGATCACGTCCCCCCTGAGGATGGACGACGGGTGGCACGACGACGACGATGACGACGAGTTGGCTGGCAGGCCAAAACGTCGGACCTGTGCCGAAGCGCTGACGATGAACTTGGAGACTCTGGTAAGTTTATTGGGCGACTCGCGTCATCGTCAGGTCTGTTAATCGTTTGTCTTCGTGCCGTAGATGGTGAAGTATTGTCCAGTTTGCCCATTTATAACCAGCAGCAACAAATTGAGCAGACACATACTCAACAAACATCTAGAGTCTCCGAGGAAGCCGAAGAAGGTCCACTTGAAATCCATAGTTCAAAAAATCACGGCTGCGTCGAGAAAATCGTATTCGGTCGTCCCGATGTCGTCCATCAAGCAGACGCTCGGGGTGTATTGGGATGACAGAAACTACCGGAGCATCGCCCACAAGTGAGTTGTGTAAAACCCTAACGAGTCGGTCGACCATTTCGATTAATATCATTTTTGTTTCCGTTTCAGACTCACGGTCATGTTAAGGATGAAGGTGTATGGCGGGTCGTGGGACCTTCCCGGCGTCCCAGTAGCACCACATCCTTTCGCGGACGACCTCGTCCAAGTGGAAGACGATGCTCCCGAAGCGTTCTTCCCGACGCTCCCGATGTCGGACTATAGATAGCCAGCCAATTCGGCGCCCAAAGCTCCGCACGCCTTGATGGGAATGTCCTCCGCTCCCGCAGCCGCCTCTGCCTCCCTCTCCGCCGCCCCACCACTGCCGGCTCTGCCTCCGCCCTCGCCTCCGCCTCTGCCACCCCCAAGCTTCCGTACAGTGAGTACTGATTCGTTGATTCGGATTTTGTTCCGGTCCGCAACGTGGTTTAACCTCTCGTTTGATTTTTTTACAGAACCGTCAGAAAGGCCGTCCAAGAATCGGTGGCTTAATAGACAGCTTCCACGGAATCACACTCTAATCCTAATGTTTAGGAACACGCCGTCATTGAGCCACGGTGAAGAGTCTTCGGCGGCTGACAATTACATTGCGAATATTTCGAGGGTGTTGATGTACGTCCATCAACATCTGGTGGACACAAAGTTCCCTCCGAGGCATTGGTCGGACTTGGTGTCCACAGATGTTCAACCATATATGGAGTATATAAGGAGGTAAGTTCCCCGGTAGACTAGAGAGCAATAAGAGTTATTAACGACGATTTTGTTTTGTTTTTCAGGCGGGAAGAGTTAGACCAGACCAAGGCCACAACTATAAATTACTTGAAAAACATCAGGCTGCTGTTTTCGTATGTCATCCGTGCATACGTATACGAGGACCCCAGCTTCCCAGTCAGTTTTGATCAATCCCCGTGTTCGGAAACGATCACGCGGATCAAACTGCTGGACCAGAAGCTGGAGCTCGTATATAAACGCACAACGGAGCAGCAGCCTCAAGAGCTCTTCAGCCGGAAGACGCAAGAGGCGAGGACTATGCCCCAATACTCTGACGTAGTCAAGTGCATCGGGCAAATTGCCCAGGCGTTGCAGCACTCTGATCGGACTGCCGGACAGTATTACCGGCTGCCAGACGCGAAAGAAGCCCTGAGACGGAACAACAATATACAGGTGGTAGACTACACCGCCATGGTAAAGAGCTACGTCGACAAAAAGTAAGTAGACACAATCGTATTTACTTAATCACGGACGCATATTCAAAATATGATCAATTAAATTTTCAGTTTCGAAGACATGTTCCCGCTTCAGACCTACGCTAAATTCAACTGTGATGACTGGTTAACGAGAAAAAGAGAGTCTGACGTCTGCAGGGAATTCCCCTCTGCGAAGATAGACTCCCATTACGTCAACCAGCTCGGGGAGAGGTTTGACTTTGCGGTGCTCCAGGGGCGATGTGACATCCTGTTGCAGGAGGTTATCCGGGCAGGGTACAATAAAAACAACATTTCCGAACACGCAATTGTCGACGTAGCCAAGCAGCGGAAAATAGGATATTTTCTGAGGGACGTGAGGTGCCGTAAAAAGATCGTCGCGAAAATAAAAGCGGCAGTGTAAGTCTGGCAGTGTAAACTGGAGCCGATGAAAGTGGATTAGGCCTATTGGGGAACCCACTATAAAAAAAACGCGCCATGTGCTGTACCTCGGTGGTGGTGTGGAAAACAGCACACTACATTCATTTCAGGTACCCAAATCCACCTCAGCCGTAAACCGCTGGATCAAAAGTTAGACATCGAAATCACGCAGCCCCATCGGTGCGTAGCGGTACGGACTCCTACGGGGAGACGACCCGCGGTCAAGCGAGAGTTTACATTTATTAGAGTTTCTATTTACATAAGATTAAGTTTCAGTATTCAATATTATATCAGAAACGATTTATTAGGTTTTTAAATTTTATATACGCGTTTTAAAGGTTTTTTTGATTATTTCTTTTGGTGTTCTTTTTTGCGTAACACGGGTATTTGCGCGTAATAATGCCGGGCGCTCGTTAAACGTTTACACTCGGGTGTTTCGCTTTTTTATTCATTTTTTTTAAGCATTTTATTATTGTTCAGCATCTTTTTATCAACAGTATAGCGTTTTTTTAATGAATTTTTATCCGTTTTTTAATTTTTTTTAGGCGTTTTTTTGAAGCGTATATATTGCCGCCTGTATTAGCGCGTACCGATACCGGGCAAGCGTTAAACGTTTACACTCCGGCGTTTCGCTTTTTTATTCATTTTTTTAAGCATTTTATTATTGTTCAGCACCTTTTTATCAACAGTATAGCGTTTTTAAATTATTTTTTTAACAATATGCACGCCGCACCTGATTCGCCCGTCACCGGGCCGTCAGAACCACTGGGGATCACGTCCCCCCTGAGGATGGACGACGGGTGGCACGACGACGACGATGACGACGAGTTGGCTGGCAGGCCAAAACGTCGGACCTGTGCCGAAGCGCTGACGATGAACTTGGAGACTCTGGTAAGTTTATTGGGCGACTCGCGTCATCGTCAGGTCTGTTAATCGTTTGTCTTCGTGCCGTAGATGGTGAAGTATTGTCCAGTTTGCCCATTTATAACCAGCAGCAACAAATTGAGCAGACACATACTCAACAAACATCTAGAGTCTCCGAGGAAGCCGAAGAAGGTCCACTTGAAATCCATAGTTCAAAAAATCACGGCTGCGTCGAGAAAATCGTATTCGGTCGTCCCGATGTCGTCCATCAAGCAGACGCTCGGGGTGTATTGGGATGACAGAAACTACCGGAGCATCGCCCACAAGTGAGTTGTGTAAAACCCTAACGAGTCGGTCGACCATTTCGATTAATATCATTTTTGTTTCCGTTTCAGACTCACGGTCATGTTAAGGATGAAGGTGTATGGCGGGTCGTGGGACCTTCCCGGCGTCCCAGTAGCACCACATCCTTTCGCGGACGACCTCGTCCAAGTGGAAGACGATGCTCCCGAAGCGTTCTTCCCGACGCTCCCGATGTCGGACTATAGATAGCCAGCCAATTCGGCGCCCAAAGCTCCGCACGCCTTGATGGGAATGTCCTCCGCTCCCGCAGCCGCCTCTGCCTCCCTCTCCGCCGCCCCACCACTGCCGGCTCCGCCTCCGCCCTCGCCTCCGCCTCTGCCACCCCCAAGCTTCCGTACAGTGAGTACTGATTCGTTGATTCGGATTTTGTTCCGGTCCGCAACGTGGTTTAACCTCTCGTTTGATTTTTTTACAGAACCGTCAGAAAGGCCGTCCAAGAATCGGTGGCTTAATAGACAGCTTCCACGGAATCACACTCTAATCCTAATGTTTAGGAACACGCCGTCATTGAGCCACGGTGAAGAGTCTTCGGCGGCTGACAATTACATTGCGAATATTTCGAGGGTGTTGATGTACGTCCATCAACATCTGGTGGACACAAAGTTCCCTCCGAGGCATTGGTCGGACTTGGTGTCCACAGATGTTCAACCATATATGGAGTATATAAGGAGGTAAGTTCCCCGGTAGACTAGAGAGCAATAAGAGTTATTAACGACGATTTTGTTTTGTTTTTCAGGCGGGAAGAGTTAGACCAGACCAAGGCCACCACTATAAATTACTTGAAAAACATCAGGCTGCTGTTTTCGTATGTCATCCGTGCATACGTATACGAGGACCCCAGCTTCCCAGTCAGTTTTGATCAATCCCCGTGTTCGGAAACGATCACGCGGATCAAACTGCTGGACCAGAAGCTGGAGCTCGTATATAAACGCACAACGAAGCAGCAGCCTCAAGAGCTCTTCAGCCGGAAGACGCAAGAGGCGAGGACTATGCCCCAATACTCTGACGTAGTCAAGTGCATCGGGCAAATTGCCCAGGCGTTGCAGCACTCTGATCGGACTGCCGGACAGTATTACCGGCTGCCAGACGCGAAAGAAGCCCTGAGACGGAACAACAATATACAGGTGGTAGACTACACCGCCATGGTAAAGAGCTACGTCGACAAAAAGTAAGTAGACACAATCGTATTTACTTAATCACGGACGCATATTCAAAATATGATCAATTAAATTTTCAGTTTCGAAGACATGTTCCCGCTTCAGACCTACGCTAAATTCAACTGTGATGACTGGTTAACGAGAAAAAGAGAGTCTGACGTCTGCAGGGAATTCCCCTCTGCGAAGATAGACTCCCATTACGTCAACCAGCTCGGGGAGAGGTTTGACTTTGCGGTGCTCCAGGGGCGATGTGACATCCTGTTGCAGGAGGTTATCCGGGCAGGGTACAATAAAAACAACATTTCCGAACACGCAATTGTCGACGTAGCCAAGCAGCGGAAAATAGGATATTTTCTGAGGGACGTGAGGTGCCGTAAAAAGATCGTCGCGAAAATAAAAGCGGCAGTGTAAGTCTGGCAGTGTAAACTGGAGCCGATGAAAGTGGATTAGGCCTATTGGGGAACCCACTATAAAAAAAACGCGCCATGTGCTGTACCTCGGTGGTGGTGTGGAAAACAGCACACTACATTCATTTCAGGTACCCAAATCCACCTCAGCCGTAAACCGCTGGATCAAAAGTTAGACATCGAAATCACGCAGCCCCATCGGTGCGTAGCGGTACGGACTCCTACGGGGAGACGACCCGCGGTCAAGCGAGAGTTTACATTTATTAGAGTTTCTATTTACATAAGATTAAGTTTCAGTATTCAATATTATATCAGAAACGATTTATTAGGTTTTTAAATTTTATATACGCGTTTTAAAGGTTTTTTTGATTATTTCTTTTGGTGTTCTTTTTTGCGTAACACGGGTATTTGCGCGTAATAATGCCGGGCGCTCGTTAAACGTTTACACTCGGGTGTTTCGCTTTTTTATTCATTTTTTTAAGCATTTTATTATTGTTCAGCAACTTTTTATCAACAGTATAGTATTTTTAAATTTTTTTTAAGCGTTTTTTAAGTTGTTTTTTTAAGCGTATAAAGGGCTGCTTTCATGAGTGCGTATTTATGCCGGGCGCACGTCAAACGTTAACGCTCGGGCGTTTCGCTTTTTTATTCATTTTTTTTAAGCATTTTATTATTGTTCAGCATCTTTTTATCAACAGTATAGCGTTTTTTTAATGAATTTTTATCCGTTTTTTAATTTTTTTTAGGCGTTTTTTTGAAGCGTATATATTGCCGCCTGTATTAGCGCGTACCGATACCGGGCAAGCGTTAAACGTTTACACTCAGGCGTTTCGCTTTTTTATTCATTTTTTTAAGCATTTTATTATTGTTCAGCACCTTTTTATCAACAGTATAGCGTTTTTAAATTATTTTTTTAACAATATGCACGCCGCACCTGATTCGCCCGTCACCGGGCCGTCAGAACCACTGGGGATCACGTCCCCCCTGAGGATGGACGACGGGTGGCACGACGACGACGATGACGACGAGTTGGCTGGCAGGCCAAAACGTCGGACCTGTGCCGAAGCGCTGACGATGAACTTGGAGACTCTGGTAAGTTTATCGGACGACTCGCGTCATCGTCAGGTCTGTTAATCGTTTGTCTTCGTGCCGTAGATGGTGAAGTATTGTCCAGTTTGCCCATTTATAACCAGCAGCAACAAATTGAGCAGACACATACTCAACAAACATCTAGAGTCTCCGAGGAAGCCGAAGAAGGTCCACTTGAAATCCATAGTTCAAAAAATCACGGCTGCGTCGAGAAAATCGTATTCGGTCGTCCCGATGTCGTCCATCAAGCAGACGCTCGGGGTGTATTGGGATGACAGAAACTACCGGAGCATCGCCCACAAGTGAGTTGTGTAAAACCCTAACGAGTCGGTCGACCATTTCGATTAATATCATTTTTGTTTCCGTTTCAGACTCACGGTCATGTTAAGGATGAAGGTGTATGGCGGGTCGTGGGACCTTCCCGGCGTCCCAGTAGCACCACATCCTTTCGCGGACGACCTCGTCCAAGTGGAAGACGATGCTCCCGAAGCGTTCTTCCCGACGCTCCCGATGTCGGACTATAGATAGCCAGCCAATTCGGCGCCCAAAGCTCCGCACGCCTTGATGGGAATGTCCTCCGCTCCCGCAGCCGCCTCTGCCTCCCTCTCCGCCGCCCCACCACTGAAGGCTCCGCCTCCGCCCTCGCCTCCGCCTCTGCCACCCCCAAGCTTCCGTACAGTGAGTACTGATTCGTTGATTCGGATTTTGTTCCGGTCCGCAACGTGGTTTAACCTCTCGTTTGATTTTTTTACAGAACCGTCAGAAAGGCCGTCCAAGAATCGGTGGCTTAATAGACAGCTTCCACGGAATCACACTCTAATCCTAATGTTTAGGAACACGCCGTCATTGAGCCACGGTGAAGAGTCTTCGGCGGCTGACAATTACATTGCGAATATTTCGAGGGTGTTGATGTACGTCCATCAACATCTGGTGGACACAAAGTTCCCTCCGAGGCATTGGTCGGACTTGGTGTCCACAGATGTTCAACCATATATGGAGTATATAAGGAGGTAAGTTCCCCGGTAGACTAGAGAGCAATAAGAGTTATTAACGACGATTTTGTTTTGTTTTTCAGGCGGGAAGAGTTAGACCAGACCAAGGCCACAACTATAAATTACTTGAAAAACATCAGGCTGCTGTTTTCGTATGTCATCCGTGCATACGTATACGAGGACCCCAGCTTCCCAGTCAGTTTTGATCAATCCCCGTGTTCGGAAACGATCACGCGGATCAAACTGCTGGACCAGAAGCTGGAGCTCGTATATAAACGCACAACGAAGCAGCAGCCTCAAGAGCTCTTCAGCCGGAAGACGCAAGAGGCGAGGACTATGCCCCAATACTCTGACGTAGTCAAGTGCATCGGGCAAATTGCCCAGGCGTTGCAGCACTCTGATCGGACTGCCGGACAGTATTACCGGCTGCCAGACGCGAAAGAAGCCCTGAGACGGAACAACAATATACAGGTGGTAGACTACACCGCCATGGTAAAGAGCTACGTCGACAAAAAGTAAGTAGACACAATCGTATTTACTTAATCACGGACGCATATTCAAAATATGATCAATTAAATTTTCAGTTTCGAAGACATGTTCCCGCTTCAGACCTACGCTAAATTCAACTGTGATGACTGGTTAACGAGAAAAAGAGAGTCTGACGTCTGCAGGAATTCCCCTCTGCGAAGATAGACTCCCATTACGTCAACCAGCTCGGGGAGAGGTTTGACTTTGCGGTGCTCCAGGGGCGATGTGACATCCTGTTGCAGGGGGTTATCCGGGCAGGGTACAATAAAAACAACATTTCCGAACACGCAATTGTCGACGTAGCCAAGCAGCGGAAAATAGGATATTTTCTGAGGGACGTGAGGTGCCGTAAAAAGATCGTCGCGAAAATAAAAGCGGCAGTGTAAGTCTGGCAGTGTAAACTGGAGCCGATGAAAGTGGATTAGGCCTATTGGGGAACCCACTATAAAAAAAACGCGCCATGTGCTGTACCTCGGTGGTGGTGTGGAAAACAGCACACTACATTCATTTCAGGTACCCAAATCCACCTCAGCCGTAAACCGCTGGATCAAAAGTTAGACATCGAAATCACGCAGCCCCATCGGTGCGTAGCGGTACGGACTCCTACGGGGAGACGACCCGCGGTCAAGCGAGAGTTTACATTTATTAGAGTTTCTATTTACATAAGATTAAGTTTCAGTATTCAATAATATATCAGAAACGATTTATTAGGTTTTTAAATTTTATATACGCGTTTTAAAGGTTTTTTTGATTATTTCTTTTGGTGTTCTTTTTTGCGTAACACGGGTATTTGCGCGTAATAATGCCGGGCGCTCGTTAAACGTTTACGCTCGGGTGTTTCGCTTTTTTATTCATTTTTTTAAGCATTTTTATTGTTCAGCAACTTTTTATCAACAGTATAGCGTTTTTAAATTATTTTTTTAACAATATGCACGCCGCACCTGATTCGCCCGTCACCGGGCCGTCAGAACCACTGGGGATCACGTCCCCCCTGAGGATGGACGACGGGTGGCACGACGACGACGATGACGATGAGTTGGCTGGCAGGCCAAAACGTCGGACCTGTGCCGAAGCGCTGACGATGAACTTGGAGACTCTGGTAAGTTTATTGGACGACTCGCGTCATCGTCAGGTCTGTTAATCGTTTGTCTTCGTGCCGTAGATGGTGAAGTATTGTCCAGTTTGCCCATTTATAACCAGCAGCAACAAATTGAGCAGACACATATTTAACAAACATCCAGAGTCTCCGAGGAAGCCGAAGAAGGTCCACTTGAAATCCATAGTTCGAAAAATCACGGCTGCGTCGAGAAAATCGTATTCGGTCGTCCCGATGTCGTCCATCAAGCAGACGCTCGAGGTGTATTGGGATGACAGAAACTACCGGAGCATCGCCCACAAGTGAGTTGTGTAAAACCCTAACGAGTCGGTCGACCATTTCGATTAATATCATTTTTGTTTCCGTTTCAGACTCACTTTCATGTTAAGGATGAAGGTGTATGGCGGGTAGTGGGACCTTCCCGGCGTCCCAGTAGCACCACATCCTTTCGCGGACGACCTCGTCCAAGTGGAAGACGATGCTCCCGAAGCGTTCTTCCCGACGCTCCCGATGTCGGACTATAGATGGCCAGCCAATTCGGCGCCCAAAGCTCCGCACGCCTTGATGGGAATGTCCTCCGCTCCCGCAGCGGGAGCATACTACTTGCGTCCGAAATTATTATCAGTAGGTGAGTTGCGTCCCGCAAAAAAAAGGTTCAAAAAGGTCATAGCCGATTTGCGTCCCAATACACCTTTTTTATAACCTAATTGCTATAAATAATCGATATAAAAATGTACAAAAAAAAAAGTATGGAAAAAACTATTCTGGACGAAAACGGTCAGTCAGCCTATGATATTACTAAATATATTTCAATCCTTAGCTATAAAAGTTGAACGAATATTTTTCAACTTCAGGAGTTCAATTTTCACGCTTTTTTTTTAAAATTCGAACTTATAAAATTACAAATTCATATGTTCTATATTTTGTCATGGTAGTTATAATAATAATAATAATATAAAAAATCGTATTTTATTAAATTAACTTATTTAATTTTTTTTAATTTGATGAGTGGTTATTTCACAAATATTGGTCTAATAAGACGAATCGTACTGAATAAAAGTAAAATGTGAAAATAAAATGCGAGTAAAAAAAAAATTATCGACGTAATTGCTTTATCGTATCGAATCTAACAACCAACAAGATACATGTTCCCATATCTTTTCACATAAAATAATACCCACTTAAATTATTAATAGAATATACTATCATATTGTACCTATCATAGATAAATTGTATCTACATTGTAAGTAAGTAACGCACGCACTCACACACATGTATACGGTACAGTTTATGAAATATTGATTTTAGTGTCACGATACTATCGATTTTAATGATTTTAGAAGATAATATCGATAATAATTATATGGCTGACTTGCGTCCCCAAAACGGGACGCAATTTACCTGTCAAATTTACTACCTGAAAAATATATCTTTTTTGGGGACGCAAGTAACATGCAGCCCCCGCAGCCGCCTCTGCCTCCCTCTCCGCCGCCACCGTCCTCGCCTCCACCACTGCCACCCCCGACACCATTCAGGCCACCCCCAAGCTGTCCGTACTAGTTACAGTATTGTTGAATCATTGATGAATTATACTATAATTACAATGGTGTATGTTTTTTTTTTATTTTTTTTCTCTGTTTCGCGCGGTGAACCGTATTTTTGACCAAGCATAACTTAGAATAGTGGTTGGGGGGGTATTAAGCAAATTTATGCCGGTACAGTAGTGTCGTAGACACTTGGGAATTATATTAAAAATATGTACTCGCATTTCGACGTTCGTAGTAAATCTGTAAATAAAGTGTCTAAGACGGCCGTCCGGCAGGCGAGTGCGGTATTTACCGCTGGGTTTAAATTCAAAATTCATTTTTTGAACTTTATGTCATGGGCATCGTAATTCTTAGTTGTTAACTATGTGACTGTTACACCGAGTAGCCGACGTGTATACCAATCGATAGATATGCTACTTATAAAAGTTGGTACAAGAATTGTATTTTTGGAGACTGTTCAAAGTGGAAATACTGTACCGCCATAAATGTGCTCAATACCCCCGACTGCAACCATACCACTTGCAGATCTCTAAGTCTAAGAGTCGACTTAATACGAACGTCATTTTAAATTCAAATTTGGACAAAATTACATATTTAAACCAAGAATCACTATTTTTTTTTTATAGTTTTTGAAAACACTCCGATAGAAAGGAACTATGCGGTTACGGAAAAAAAATACAATTTCCTAATGATATAGGTACTGCCCATTTTGCGAAAAGTCGTTTATTTACGAGTCATCGCTAATATTGCATATGAAAACGCATTGCCAAACATCAACAGTGTCATTAAATAAAAGAAAACATTTGACAAATGAGGTATAATTGTTTTATTTCTTTAACAGCATTGGTGTTTTGTTATTTTTTTGACGTAAATCTTACCAGTAAATAAATCTTATACAGAAACATGATAGAACATGATTAAGCTGATCGCAGCGGCAATACCGAAATGCGGGGTAACACATAGTAGCGAATCACTATTGTGGTTCGTGAAAAGTTTCGACTGCAGGGTCGATAGTGTTGAAAAGCTTAATTCTTTTATCATGAACAACCTTGCTGACATTCAATTCCACGTATACGCTAACACTGAAGTAGGTAACAACTGTAAAAAATATAACACAAATGTAATGGTTAAAAAAAAAATTTATATATACAATATATTATATACAATAATACATTTTTTACAGGCGCCATCAAGGTATACAAATATAAGAAAGGCAATCGATTACATAGGGGAGGAGAATAAAGAAGAAACAATTTTAGGGGGGGGGATTTATAGCATTAAAATCTTTAGCTTCAAAATTTGTAAATAAAACTGTCAGCAAAAAATCGGGGAAAAAATTTATTACAAAACAAATTAAATCAACAGTTAAATTATTTCAAAATGTTTCGGTACAATGTCACTCAAAATTTATTTCTTTACAAAAATCGTTAGCAATTAATCCGGAAACCTCATATTTAGACCCATTTTTTAAAAACTTTTTTCAACCTCAGCCTCCTCCCCTATGTAATCACTCAATTAAGTTGGATATGAGTACGGTTGTCGCATTAAACCACAGCCTCAACGAACATTTAATGTACAATTTGAATATAAATCCAAAAAAGTGAGTGTAATGGTTCATAGGTAATTTACAAAATTCTTATTTATTTATTTTTTTATTTTTCAGTGATGTAATTTGTACGCTTCTAGAACAAAAGATCTGGCTGGTGATGACTGAACTGGTGGCGAGTTATTGCGACCGTCCGGTCAATAACTGTCCAACTGATCTGTTGCTGTCATATGTACAACACTTTTTGTGCTTAAAACATCCACACTTGGATTCAATGGCAACACTTCACCTTCTTGTTCTATAGGATCTCTGTACCTATGTATACGCACGACATGGGGCCCTATTCTCGAATTTTGTCGCATTCGACATAAATCAGAACTCGATCGATTCATCGTCGAACTCGATCGATTCGTCGTCCATGGTATTCTCGAAATGATGTATGACTTTTCTCGAACGAAAACCGTTCGACATTATGTCTACTGCTATATCGCATTCGACAAAATTTAGTCGAATGATTTGTTAATTTCGAGCACCATAGATTTAATATATTTCACGCAAATCAACTGCAGAATACTATGATTATTGATAAGTCATCTTGTATTATTGTGTTTAGGTACTTGTATTACGATTGTCGTTTACCTTTTCATTTTGTTAATTTATTATTGATGTTTTATTTTATAACTGCTGAGTTAATATTTTATTAAATATAACAATAATGGCGAATGAATATGAAAGAGCTATGATATTTGCTATTGCTAATATAGAGAGGCAAGAAGCTCAAAATGTCAGACAACCGTTTGGCATTAAAATAGACCCTTTATTAGCATTAAGTGATCATCTTTTTATAAAAACTTACCGATTGAGTAAAGTTTTAACAAAATATTTAATCGAGTTAGTCACTCCATTTATGGAACCACCAAAACGTACGTCGGCTTTGAGCATCCAAAATAAGGTAATAAATAATAATTAATAACAATAATAAGGTAGGTTTGATTAGTAACAATCAGTATCAATCACGAATTAAGATATATCTTAATTCGTGGTATCAATATATCATATTTTGGCGGGAATATTTCTGATAATAAATTAATTTTAGGTTATACCATTGTGGTTCACTCGACAAGATTATTACTAGTCGACATAATCTCGAATGCGACTAATTTTAGTCGAATGCTTTTGGAGAATAGCGTTTTGCAGTCGACTACGACATAATCATTCGAGTTTAGTCGCACACGACTTCTTGTCGATTGATCTCGAGAATAGAACCCATGGTTACTTAACGAAATATCTTTTTCACGATCAGGTACATCCAACATGATCATCATTAAATCAAACCGAGATAGTAAGGAATCATGCATACCTATGTTATCCCTTGGAGTTTTACGTTGATTATAATAACCACCTAGTGGGTTAGCAGCGGCTAAAACAGAGCATCTGGCATTGAGTTTTGCATGTATACCAGCTTTTGAAATAGACACTTGCCCTTGCTCCATAGCTTCATGTATAGTTACTCTGTCAATATCTGACATTTTATCAAATTCATCAATACACACCATACCTCTGTCAGCAAGTACCATAGCCCCAGCTTCTAAATGACGACCACCAGTTGATCTGTTGGTAGTGACGGCTGCAGTTAAACCAACTCCCGTAGATCCTCTCCCTGTAGTGCATACTGCAAAGGGAGCAACACGCAATACGCTTCTCAATAGTTGTGATTTTGCTACACTCGGATCCCCAATTAATAGTATATGGATATCTCCACGTATATGGGAGTTGTTGTTTAACGTAATTTCAACTCCACCCAACAATAAACATAATATTGCATTTTTAATGTGAATGTCGACATGGAGGGAGGGCGCTATTGAATTTGCCAGTAACTCAAACACATAATCTTTCTCTTTTTCGACCAGCTTCCTACACATGGTGATGTCAGACCGTTGTACAGAAAAATTTGCATTTTGTAGAATGACATTGTTGGCGATTGCCATTGTATTGAAAAAAATGCTGCCTTTTGTTGGCAAAAAACACCGGGAACACCCAACCACCATTAATTTGTCACCAGACTTAAACCCGCTCACCAAATCATTTTCCAACAGCACTTCAACCACCTGGGACGCATTCCCGGCTGGGGTTTTTTCACACGATTCTTGCATCGTCAGTACTTGACGATCTTTGTAGCTAGAGAGCCCATACTCTGTCTGCAAGATATTACCATTGTCGTCATGAGTTGGATAACGACAATTATTGGACGTGGCCAAATTAAAACTATATGATGGTGACGTGAAGTCTGTACGTGTTCAGAAATATTTTAGTGGCCGGGCAATAGTGAACACTTTTCAATAAAACAGTTTTAACCTCCGAACACCTCGTCACTACACCTTCCAAACAAACTAAACTACCGAGGAACTTTGACCTCAATGTCCGTGGGGTGACATGTTGCCGTCCAAATGAGCCATATAAACCAACAAAGAATTCGCCATACTTATTCTCATAGTCTGTGTTTATGGACCTAACACATTCTTTGATGGCACGCTTTAGTTCTACTTCTTCGTCGGTATAATTACTTATTAATTGTTTGGCACTATTAAAATTGTACTTACGTACGTCATCAATGTCAATGATTAATCTTCTGCCATTTTCATTAATCATAGTTTGCACTTTCCTGTGATATACATTGTCCTGTAGTTCGTCATCAAGAAAATCTTGGTATTCACGAAAAATATTTTTAGCCATATTGCAAAGGAAATTTACGGTACTCACGCTTCTAAGGTATAATGCGAAATGTACCTATGTCGTGTCTTGACTATCAAACTATGTGCCATAGATCAACGTATATTGGAATCGGTTGATTAATGACATAGTTACCGAGAATTAAATAATCGTAATTAGATAATAGGAAATTACTATAAATACTGTGGTGAATGCACTAGTGTCTACCCAAGGCATCCTTCAGGTAGTGCGGGAAAGTATCTGGTATTTATTCTTCGATTTTTTTGGTTCTGAAACAGGAAAACTATAGTATCAGGAATGCTGATCAATTTTGGGGGAAATTAATATTTAACACAGTTTTTGGCTATCCTAAGTACATTTTACCACGTAATCCTGCACCAATATACCGTTTTCTGGACAACTCGACCACACCACCACTTTATGCAAATTGTAAGTATCCAAAATGCATTTCCCGAAAAGGGGACATCCTAACGAAGCCAGGGATGTGCTTGGCTAAGTCGTAGTACAATATTTCTATTTTTAATGACTTATAAACCGATTTTACCCCTGTAATCCTGCTGCACCAATATACCGTTTTCTGGACAACTCGACCACACCACCATTTTATGCAAATTGTAAGTATCCAAAATGCATTTCCCAAAAAGGGAACATCCTGACGAAGCTAGGGATATCATTGGCTAAGTAGTAGTACAAAATTTCGATTTTTAATTTGGTATTCAAATATTCGTGTCTACCGCGGTAGTGCATTTTATGAGTACCCGGGACATTTTTGTATGAAAAACAATTGTTAAAAATCCAAATTTAGTAGCACTGTTTTGAAAATGATATCCCTCGACTTTAAATGACTTACTCTATACCCCCAAATAGTTTTAAGTCCCCTGGTAAACGAATTGGACTTGTGGTGTTGGCTAAACGAGCGTTTAAGCCCTGTAATCCTGCACCAATATACCTATATTCGCCTTTAGACTGTCTTAGTAAGTCGAGCTCTGCATGTAACATGGTTGCATTCGGGGGGATCTCAGCTATCTCGGAATTATATTGAAAAAATTCCCAAGTCCAAAGAACGGGCGCCCGGGAGGTAAGTTTGAAAATTTACATCCAGGATGCATTGCATTCTGGCGACAAGCTGGATATGGCCCAGTTCAAAATATCGTATAAAACCAGGGTTTTGACTTAGAGTCATGAAATTGATATGAGTGCATTCCTCGTTACCTCCACTATCCATTCCTTAGTGTTTTTGAGAACAACAAGTCCATATATCCGCTCAATACCCCTACATTGTAAAATGCTTACATTAATAAGAGGTTCTGGTCTTCTGAACCACGAACCAACAAAATCGCTTTAAATAAATGCCCATTAGATTTATTCATTTTTGTGAATTTGTAAAATTAGTGTTAATAAGTGTTTTTGAAAACAAAAAGTTCAAATAACGACCGCCCGGCAGGTAAGTATAAGATTTACCGGCGGTTTACGACTCCCCCGCGCTCTCTATACTTTTGGACACCGTAATTCTTAGATACTATAGTATTAATATTATTCGTACTCAGCACACAGCGTTGTCGTGTTTAAATTGTAATAATATTGTGTACTTTGGCCGCCGGCGATCCTGACATCCCGCCTCCTGCCACCCCGTAGGATACCCAGTCAAACCGCCCGTGACCCTCACCCTACCAGCCCACTGTGAGTTATGACTCGCAGTGGTCTTATCTTGAATTAACCGTCTATTTCGGGAAATGCCTATGGAAAATTTCTGATGCCTGCCGCATTTGTAGGCGTCACCGCCGTCAACTTGCCGACAACTCTCCCACCAACTCGCAATATACCGCTGCAATCTTTATCGGTGCCCACTGGCCTATTGCTGGGTCAATAGGAACACGTTTTTGGAAATATATATAAAAATAAATATTGAACTTAATTGTATAAATAGTTCTAAATATATTCATGTGTGTGTGGGTTTTCTAAAACCGTTTTCAGAATATGAAAACTATAAAAATTGTGTGTACAATCTTAAAAAAAAATCGTTAAAACCGTTCCTATTCACCCCATTTTACGGTAATTAATTATTTAAATCTATTTTTGCTTTTCATTATAGGTGTAAACGACTTCTCTCTCATATATAGTGGGAGGAGTAAAAACAACATGCATGTCCTACTAGGACCAATATCATTTGTAAATCACAGTTGTCTACCCAACTGCAAATTTAAACCAAACGATGGCGGCAAAATTTGTTTGCTTACATAAAAAAAATATTTGCAGGAGATGAGATAACGGTGTCATATAGCACAGAGTATTTCGGTGATGATAATCACCAATGCTTGGGTGAACTGTGCTCTGTGGCCTTTTGTGTGGTCGAACACCGTAAGTTCAGTAGTAATTAATATAGATATTATTATGATTTATTTACTTAGTTTGTTTATCCTTAGTATGCAATAAAGTGGTAACTGATTGTGATGATATAGAAAGTGCTGGTGAGAATTATTTTCATTATTTTATTATAATAGTCATAAATTGTCTTTGTAAGCAAATTAAGTGTTATTTATTTCTAGTGTATGATGTTTCATGTTATGACATTGAAGAACTTACACAGGCCGCAGATGATGCCCTAAGCGCATTGCAAGGAAAAGGTTTGTATTCAAATAATCTTACTAACTAAATAATTGAATTGTGGTAATACACTGTAAGTGTGAAAATATTAACACCTAAAAAATTCTTTTGAATTGATATTAATTTATTTTAAATTTCTAGTTTATGATCATAGTGATGATGATGATGATAGTAGTAGTCATGATGAAAAATAAGATGTGGCAGGACTTAGTAGGGTGGTTGTCCCAGCTGAACCAGATGATTATGGTAAGTCGATCAGTATAAGATGATATAATACTTAATATAATACTTAGAGAGGAAGGTATATACTATATATTAATTACTCCTATAATTTTAATAACTAAATAATTAATGCCGGTTTGTTTCTACATTTTAGAGTATCCGATTGACAGTACTAGTTATGCTAATGACAGTACTAGTTATGCTGGAGATGATGATAGTGATGCTGGTGATGATGATAGTAATGCTAATATTATTGCTGAAATCAACCGTAAGTTTTAATTTATAAACATGAGTTTATTTTATTTATTTATTTTTTTAAATTAGGTTTACACTTAGAACGTAGAAAAGTGGTTGTCACAGTTCCGTATGCGCCAGGACCCAGTAGAGTGTCCCCTGAACCTGTCATTAATGATGGTAAGATGATATTTATAAACATTAATACAATATAATTAATTTTCATAATTTTTTATTTATTAATTTTTTTAAATTAGGTTTAAAGGCAGAACGTAGAAAAGTGGTTGTCACAGATCCGTATGCGCCAGGACCCAGTAGAGTGTCCCCTGAACCTGTCATTAATGATGGTAAGATGATATTTATAAACATTAATACAATATAATTAATTATCATATATGAAAATTTTTTTATGTATTTAGTGAAAAAGAAACGCATTAAAGAAAAGTTCAAATGAAAGGTGTGCCTCATGAATTTCTCATACAGGTCACAATTGAACAGACACAGGTCTGTACATGAAGAACCGCAATGGACATGCGATATATGCAATATAAAATGTAAAAGAAAAGATACGATGGTGCGTCATCTTGAAACACATAACAACGATCAATATGTTTATTCTTGTAATCGATGCCCAAAAAAATATAAGCACTTTGATTCGCTAAAACAACATCATATGGAAAAGCATTCTAAACAGAAAACTGAAGTCAAATGCAATATATGCCAAAAACAATTTGCATCATATAAGACTTTAAGGTACCATTTAAATGTACTATTTGTTCTGAAACATTCCATGAACCGTATAAGAAAAGCAGGCATATCAAAAAAATGATAATTTATAAAACTTAAATAATTTGAACGCTTATAAATATTATAATTTCTATTTTTATTTTACAGCATACAAAGCAATGCACAGTGCAACGGTAGGTACGGTGGACTAGGGCTCTTGGCGAACCACCTATCCAACACTACATGGACCAGTTCAAACCAAAATTTTAAAAAATGATTTCGTGAGGAAATATTTATCAATTGCCAAGTGCACCAAGCCGAAAATGGATGATGAAGCTTGTGGGATGATCACTATGGAGTACGCGAGACTACGTTCAAGGGAGGCTGTCGGTCCGGACGCAGCGAGAACTCTGCCTGTAACGCCCAGGACCGTCGAAGCCATGATTCGATTGTCAGCAGCTCATGCAAAGGGACGGTTATCACGGTTTGTCGAGGCGAAAGATGTGAACTTTGCACTAGATTTGATCAACAAGAGTTATTTCATAAACAAATAACTAAAAAATAAATGTGTTTAATTATATTATGTATAAATAAAAAAAAATAATATTATTTACTATTATGTATTCTTTTTTATTATGTATTTTATTTCAAAATCTATATATTCAAAATCATATACTTACCTACCGGACGGCCGTCGATTCGGTTTATAATTCATTAAAAATATTTTAGTTATTTTCCTTGATATAATTTAAAATCACGATTAAACGCATATCAGATCTTCCGTGTAAAACTCTATACTCTGAATAACATTGTTAACTTCTTGGACAGGCAGGCGAAATACCAATAACTCCATGTCTCCATTATTATTATTATTATTATTATACTAGGTTGTAGCCGTAGCTTAAAATCACGATTCATTCGTTTCTCAACGGCTTTCCCGTCACGTTAGTCACGTATTTTAGTCGAAATTAACATGGACTTCAATAAATGTAAGTATTTAATTAAGTTCTTCAATTGTTAGATTCTGAGCGGAACGATGATTGTATTGGTCACTTGCCCACCTTTTTTTAAATTTTTTTTTATAGTTTTGGAAAACAATCAGATTGAAAGAAGCTATTCGGGTACGGAAAAAAAATATAATTTTTTAATGATAAACTGCCCATTTTGCCAAAAGGCGTTCATATATGAATCAACGATAATATTTCATATTAAAATCA